TACTCCAGGCTCATCTTGTATTTTCCTTGCCCCTTCCCTGGAGTTTCAGCTGTTTTTCCGAAAAGCTCTGATCCTTTTAGTAGGGGATGGTATTTTGAAGTCAAAATCTAAGCTTGATCTAAGCTTGTCGCTACTAGTGTATCATTGCTTTTAGGTCCTTTCAGTAGACAGGATCAGGAGATGGGCACACACACACGCACACACGTGTCTATGTTTATAATTATTTATTTTTATTCTTATTTTTTTCTTTGAGACAGGGTCTTGCTGTGTTGCCTAGTGATCATAGCTCACTGCAGCCTCCAACTCCTGGGCTCAAGTGATCCTCTCACTTCAGCCTCACAAGTGGCTGGGACTACAGTCACACACCACTAAGCCTGGCTAAGTTTTAAAATTTTTTTGTGGAGACAGGAGTCTCTCTGCATTGCCCAGGCTGGTCTTAAACTCCTGGCCTCAAGCAATCTTCCTACCTGGGCCTCCCAAAGTTCTGGGATTACAGGTGTGAGCCACCACACCCAGTCTATTTTTATATCTATCTTTATTATATTAAAGACCATGAGGTCATATTGACGCCCTCAATTTCAGTCTGACACAGAGTTCTTTTAAGTATTCCTCCTTTCCATGTTTGCAACTTCAGCATTGAGAAACCTATTCTTTTTAGAGTTGGAGTCTCACTCGGTTGCCCAGACTGGAGTGCAGTGGCCCGCTCCCAGCCACCGCAGCCTTGCCTGCTGGGCTCCAGCGATCCTTCCGCCTCAGCCTTCCGAGTAGCCGGAATTACAGACATGCACTAACATGCCCAGCTGATTTTTTGATTTACTGTCGAGATGTGGTCTTGCTGCCCAGGCGGGTCTTGAACCCGCAGGCTCAGGCAATCCACTCACCTCAGCCTCCCAAAGGCGTGGGACTACAGGCTGAGCCACCGAGCTCAGCGAGAAACCTATTTTTAATCATTTTAAATGTAACTGAGTTTATATTGAATGTATTGCTGGTTTTTAAAAAAACTTGTATTGATCTCTGTTCTCCAAGAAATATACAAACTCCAAAGTTTTCATTCATTGTATTTATTCAACCAGCAACTATCAAGCAAACACTATATGTCAGAGAATGTGCTAGGGCTAGGGAATACAGCAGTGGATAAAATATTGCATTGGGGAAGAAATGGCTAAAGAGGACAATAGCTACAAAGTCAGGAAACAGCCACACTGAGATCTGCTCCTGATCCATGCTCTCCCTTTGGCCTCCGATTGCTTTAGTAATTTGCTCTCTTCCTTCTGCAGAAGTTTCCAACATTCTTGAATTCAATAAAAATACTTCTGTCGGTTTTAAATCTACATGAGACAGAGCTTTGTGCATCTTCTGGATTACTTAATTTCTTAAAGACTCGGTTTCCAAATCTGTGAAAATGAAGATATTAATCTCAACCTTTGGTGAGGATAAATGAAATGATGTGAGGTGGCCAGGGATATTTGTGACACATCATAGGTATTTAATGAAGTTAACTTTCCTTTTCTTTTTCAACACAATGCTAATGAATTAGATCATTCATTTATATATTCATTTATCTTTATATCCATTCAGCAAGCATTTATTGAGAGTCCAATATATACCAGGTTCTCTGCTAAGCACTGGGGATACAGAAACAGCATAGTCTCCTTTCTCACCTTGCTCACAGTCAAATCCAAGAGACACACAAATAATTACAATACCATCTGATGAGAACTAGGAGAAGAAGGCCACAGAAGAAGGTTTCTTGGAGGAAGGAACTCTGGTGTAGCACGGTCTGGGACAGCACAGTTCTGCTGTTAAAGTTGCCGAGAATAAATAAAGGGGTGAATAAATTCGATTCAGTTCAACAACCATTTCCTAGAAGCTTCTACTACCCAAGGCATTGTTTTCTGAATTGGAGTACGCAGATGAAGAAGGACAGCTCAGGCCCTTAAGGACCATCTAGTTCTCCTGGCAGATAACAGTTCTAACCAGGTGTTTCAGTACTAGATAGAGCATTCCGTGGGGTCAGGCAACTTATGGGACAATGAGAAGGGAAGAAGCAACCCTTAGCGCTACTAGAATAGGATTCTAGATTGAGTGCAGCGTGAAGCTTGGAGATAACCAGTGTATGAATAGGAGTCATTGACAACTTCTAATCCAAGGAATGACATAGATTGATATTTGCTGGAGGACGGAAACGGGTAAGGAAGACTGAGGTCAATGACACTAGCAAGGATGCTGAATATACAATCATTCTTTTTTTTTTTTTTAATGTAGAGATGAGGTCTTGCCAAGTTGTCCAGGCGGGTCTCGAACCCACGGGCTCAGGCAATCCACTCACCTCAGCCTCCCAAGGCGCAGGATTACAGGCTGAGCCACCGAGCCGGCTTACAATCATTCTTGATAGCGGTTGGGGGATTGGGATGCTCAAATCTCTTCTATAAAATGGTGTAGTATTTGCATATCACCTTCACACATGCTTTTTTTTTTTTTTTTTTGAGTTGGAGTCTCACTCTGTCGCCCAGACTGGAGTGCAGTGGCCGCTCCCGGCCACCGCAGCCTCGACCTGCTGGGCTCCGGCGATCCTTCCGCCTCAGCCTTCCGAGTAACTGGAATTACAGGCATGTGCTACCACGCCCGGCTGATTTTTTGATTTATTGTAGAGATGAGGTCTCGCTGCCCAGGCGGGTCTTGAACCCGTGGGCTCAGGCAATCCACTCACCTGAGCCTCCCAAAGGCGCGGGATTACAGGCTGAGCCACCGAGCCCGGCTCACACATGCTTTTATATACTTTTTTTTTGGTCAGTGTCTCATTCTGTAACCCAGACTGAAGTGCAGTGGCATAATCATGGCTACTGCAGCCTCGATCTGCTGGACTCAGGTGATCCTTCTACCTCAGTCTTCCAAGTAGCTGGGACTACAGGTGCTCTACTATGCCTGGGTAATTTTTTTATTTATTTATTGTAGAGGCAAGGTCTCACCAAGTTGCCCAGGCCAACCTTGAACCCTTGGGCTCAGGCAATTCTCTCACCTTGGTCTCCCAAAGTGCTGGGACTATGGGACCATGCCTGGCCCATAAAACTTATTAGTTCTTTTCTTTCTCTCTCTCTCTCTCTCTCTTTGTCTCTCTCTCTCTCCCCCCCCCTTCTCTCTCTCTCTCTCTCTTAACTGTTCCTCTCCACGGAAAGCTTTAGTAAAAGGCGAAAGATTTATTCGTTCTGAAGAGAAACCAGAGCATCTTTCTTTTCTTTTCTTTTCTTTTTCTTTTTTTTTGAGTTGGAGTCTCACTCTGTCGCCCAGACTGGAGTGCAGTGGCCACTGCCGGCCACCGCAGCCTCGACTTGCTGGGCTCCGGCGATCCTTCCGCCTCAGCCTTCTGAGTAGCTGTAATTACAGGCGTGCGCTACCACGCCCGGCTCATTTTTAATTTATTGTAGAGATGAGTTCTCGCCAAGTTGCCCAGGTGGGTCTCGAACCCGCGGGCTCAGGCAATCCACTCACCTCAGCCTCCCAAAGGCGCAGGATTACAGGCTGAGCCACCGAGCCCAGCTTTTCTTTTCTTTTTTAAAAAGAGACTGGGTTGTTGAATTCCTGATGTCAAGCTATCCTCCCACCCCAGCCTCCTGGGTAGTGGGGACAACCGGACCCTTACAACTTTAAATCATCTCTAGATTACTTATAATATGTAATACAATGTAAATGCTATGTAAATAGTTGTGCTGTATTGTTTTATGTGTATTTTTTTATTTGATTTTTTTTTTTTTTTTTTTTTTTAGTTGGAGTCTCACTCTGTCGCCCGACTGGAGTGCAGTGACCGCTCCCGGCCACCGCAGCCTCGACCTGCTGGGCTCCGGCGATCCTTCCGCCTCAGCCTTCCAAGTAGCTGGAACTACAGGTGCGCGCTGCCACGCCCGGCTAATTTTTTGATTTATTGTAGAGATGAGGTCTCGCCAAGTTGCCCAGGTGGGTTTTAAAAAATACTGTATTATATGTTATTTTTAGTCAGGGTCTCACTCTGTAGCCCAGGCTGACTGCAGTCTCGACCTCCTGGGCTCAGCCTACGCTTCTGCCTCCGCCTCCTGAGTAGCTAGGACTACAGGCACGCACCTCCACGCCTGGCTATTTTTTCATTTTCATTTTTGTAGAAACGAGATCTCGCTATGTTGCCCAGGCTGGTCTCGAACTCCTGCTCTCCGTCTATACTCTCGCCTCGGCCTTCCAAAGTGCTGGGGTTACAGGCGTGGGCCACAGCGCCCAGCCTATTTTTTAATTGACTTAAAAAACGATTTTCGTGTGGGGGTGGGGGAGGGGCCACGACATCACTAAGAGTACCTGATCTCAAACCAGGCAAAGTGGGCACCAAAGGGAGGCCCAAACTTCACAACGATCCCTTGCATACCTAATCCTGACTTGTACCCCACATCTTTAAAATAAAAAAAACCCCCCAAAACAAAAAACCCAAACTATTTTCCCTCCGGGGTTGATGGAATCCACAAAGGCAGAACCCGCAGATCCAGAGAGCCTGCAGTGCGCTCGCGCGCGTGTGTAATACAGAAACATATAAATAGATATATGAATAGAAAGTTGGGGTAGACGTTTGAGCCGAGAGACAGTTTGGCGGTGGTTGCCGTTACTCAGGGAAGAGGGTGCCGGGCGAAAAGAGGACTGACGGAAACCAAGCGAGAGCCGTTAGAGAACTAGGAAAGGGGCGTCCAGGCAGTTAGATGAACGGAGGAGGGGGCTAGGAGGACAGGAGGGGGACAGTCGTGGAGAAGGCTGTACAAAGGTCAGAAGAGCGTCATTTGCCTTGGCAGAGGGAGCCCTCTGCCAGAGCGGTTTCTGCCACTGGTGCAGGCGGGAATTCCCAGGCAGGAAACGGGTGAATGAATGAGTGAGGAGAAAAGCGAAAGCGAGAGAGCTGATGAATGAAAAGCCGCGTGCGGTGCCCTGTGCCGCCCCGAGGACTTCCAGGCCCAACGCCGAGCCCTGGGACGGAGTAAAGTCCTTCTCACAGGGCTCTAGAGGCCACCTACAGACTGTGAGCCTCGCCACTCTCCGGCGCACCTCCAAGGTCAGGGTCACCTCGAGACTCCTGGCAACCTGTCACCTTGACGACCTGCGGAAGAAACCGGAAGGGCCGGAAGCCGTCGGATTATCTCGCGATAACTGGGTCCCGGCGCCGGCCTTCCCGGCCAGGGCCTCGCTTCCGGCTCTCGCGAGACTTGCCGGGAGTCGGAGCGCGGGGGCCGGCAGAGAGGGGAGCTGGAGCTGCGGGTGGGGAACATGTCGGAGTCGGAGCTCGGCAGGAAGTGGGACCGGTGCCTGGCGGATGCGGTCGTGAAGATCGGTAAGGGGCTTCTCGCTCCTGGCAGGTCCGGCCTGCAGCCAGGCCCCGCTGCCCGGGGTTCGGGCCGCCCGGCCTGTCCCAGCCCCACGGGGGTTCCTTGGGAGGCGGGACACGGGCCTGGGGAGTGGTGGTCGGGCTGGCAGGTGGCGGGAGAGCTGCAGACGCTTTCCGTGGCAAGTAGTCCCCGGCACGACCTCGGGCCGAGCTCCGGATTTCCCTCCCCGGGGCCACATCGCCTGGCGTGGGCCGTAGCCTAGTCAGGGGGCCGCGGACCTCCCCCCGAAACAAAAGTGCCTTAAATTCTTTTTTTTTTTTTTTTTTTAACGTAGAGACGGGGGTCTCGTTGTGTCGCCAGGCTGATCTCGAACTCCTGGCCTTAAGCAGCCCTCCCGCCTAGGCCTCCCAAGGCGCCGGAATCCTTCTGAAGAAGGTCATCGGGAGCGTTTTATACTGCCAGGCCCTGTTGTGAATTGCTGTCATTCCCAACCTGTCACCCGACTTGTCTGAATCAGGGTAGTCTGGGACCTGAAATTGGAGACAGAGTGATGATGGCCTGGAGTGAGACTTTTGCTGGAAAGTAAGAAGTTGTTCGCTTTCAGTCCTTGGTGTAACGTGTAGTCTTTCAACACGTGCTTAGCGACGAAACCAATTATGAAGTCACTTTGTGTGTGGGGAGGGAGCTCATTTATTGAAGTGTATTAAGTATCTTCGTTGTACTAGGTGCTCACCTTAGTTCACTGCCTGATAAATTATCTTTTTACAGGTTATGAAATGGAGAGTAAGGTGAAGGGATTTGCCCAGGGTCATGCTGCTAATAAATGAAAGTCAGGGATTTAACTCAGGTTTTCTGGGTTCAACTCCTGTGCTTTTTCTTGGATACTAATTTTTATTATCCAAATTTGATATTTTTATATGGTAATCTTAGGGTATTTAAGAGCCTTTAGGATTGTGTCCTTGAATGAAAATATCGGGAAAGAAATAAAATAGTAAGGTTCATGAAAGCAGGGATGCATCTAGTTTATTTACTACTGTTTTCCCCGCCCCAGAAGAGCGTTTAATAAAAATTGTTGAAACCGGGCACAGTGGCTCATGCCTGTAATCCCAGCACTTTGGGAGGCTGAGGCAGAAGGATCACCTGAGGCCAGGAGTTCACAGTCATTCTGGGCAGCATAGCAAGACTCCCGTCTCTACAAAAAATTTTAAAAATTAGCTAGGTGTTGTGGCATGCACCTGTAGTCCCAGCTAGTTGGGAGGCTGAGGCTAAAGTATTGCCTGAGCCCAGGTGTTGGAGGCTGTGGTGAGCCGCCAGCATGCCACTGCACTCCAGCCTGGGCGACAGAGTGAGACTCTGACTCACAGAAGAAAAGAAAAGGTTGAGAAAGCATCAATATAAATGAAACAGTTTATCATAGCTTCCACTTCAGCCTTGAATTTAGCACTTGCCTAGCAACTTTTGTGATTTGGGCAAGTTATTTAACCTCCCTGTACCTGTTTCCTATTTGTAAATTAGCAATAGTAATTATTACTATCTGATAGAATTGTTGAAAAGATTAAATGAGTTAGTTTATGTGAAGGCCTGAGTATGGCTCACTTACTAGGAACGGGTTTTTTTGGAAGTGCCTCCCAAAATAGTTTTTGTTATTGTTTACACAGCTTGCATTTAGTAGAGAAGATTTAACACGTGGATGTGAAATGACAAAATAATTACTCAGCAGTGTACCATAGTACTGAAGAGGAGCTCTGGAGGTGGGTGGAACTGAGTTTGAATCACCCACTCTTACTCTTCACCCCCATCCTCACTAGTTTTGTAGCTTTGGGTAAGGTCTCTTTTTTTTTTTTTTTTTTTGAGTTGGCCACTCCAGGCCACTGCAGTCTCGATCTGCTGGGCTCCGCGATCCTTCCGCCTCAGCCTTCCGCGTAGCCGGAATTGCAGGCATGCGCTACCACGCCCGGCTGATTTTTTGATTTATTGTAGAGATGAGGTCTCGCTGCCCAGGCGGGTCTCGAACCCGTGGGCTCAGGCAATCCACTCACCTCAGCCTCCCAAAGGCGTGGGATTACAGGCTGAGCCACCGAGCCCGGCTAAGGTCTCTTTCTTAACAATAAAATGGGGATAAAGATGTTGACCTAAAAGGGTGAAGAAAATGAAACGCAGTGCCTAGTCCTTATTATGCATTCAGCAAACACTATAGTGATACTTGTTGGTACTAATTGTTGTGCTAGTGGTGACACCTGTGGCAGTGAGTATGTCACTGTCATGAGTGGGACAATGGTGGGGGCACACACATGTGGAATAATTATATGAGGCAAGGTAATATATGATTACAGGGAAAGTTAAAGCAAGAGATTCAGGCTCTGTTATAGAACTACTGTAAATCAAGTAAGTAGAGGGACAGGCTAAGGTCACTTATGAGAGTTTGCAAGGGAAATGGGCCTTCAGCCGACCTTTATAAAGTGACTTGGACTTGAATTTTCGGGAGGATGGAAGAACTTTAGCAGAAGCCAAGTTGGACTTTCATAGAAGAGGAAATTGAAGCCCAGAGAGGTTAAGGAGCCAGAAGTGTGTGTGTGTTTTGGAGGGGGGTCATTTCAATGCCCCTAGTCCCTAAAGAAAAGAGGGCTGGTTTGGATGGAGCCAGAATTGTGAAATGTCTTAGAGAGATTCCACTTCATCATGAAAGCACTTGAGTTGCCGTATACTTTTTCACGTGAATTCAACACCTCTGTGTTTTTCTGTGCATTCAACACCTCTGTCTTAAAGTCTATCACTTCCAGGGCTCACTATGCCTAGGCTGGTGAGGAATCGTGGGATGGTTTCAAGCATCAAATATTTATTGAGTTATGGGCCAGTCCGTGGGCAAATAGAGAAGTACAGGCATTTTACTACCCTCAACAGGGAATTGATGTGATGTAAATGGAATTTTGGTATGATTGTTCTGGCAATGTTTTATACAGAACAGATTTAGATTAGAGGAAACTAGCAGCACTGGGTTGTGAGGTATATAAATCTGAACTGTTAGACTGGAAAGGAATAAGTAATTTGCAAAACTTCAATCTTTTCCTCCATAAAATGGAAATAGTAATACCCATTTCCTAGACCCATAGGAACTCAGTAAATGCTGTTTTCTTTAACTTGTCTCCAACTAGTTAACATTGCCTCATCTTCATTTCTTTTTTTTTTTTTTGAGTTGGAGTCTCACCCTGTCACCCATGCTGGAGTGCAGTGGTACACTCACGGCCACCGTAGCCTCTACCGCTGGACTTAGGTGATCCTTCCACCTCAGCCTTCCAAGTAACTGGAACTACAGGCGCATGCTACCACGCCCAACTTATTTTTTGATTTATTGTAGAGACGAGGTCTTACCAAGTTGCCCAGGCTGGTCTCGAACCCCCGGGTTCAGATAGTCCTCTCGCTTCGGCTTTCCAAAGTGCTAGGATTATAGGCCGAGCCACCGTGCCAGGCCCATCTTCATTTCTTGTAAAGAATTAATGTCACTGATGAGAATTTGGAAGTAAAGCAGAACAGGTGCATGTGAACCTCATTCAAATGAAAGAGCATCTGGCATAGTATACCTGATTACATCAGGTGGCAGGGGAGAGTGTGATTGTAATGAGAAGGTCATCGTTTTGGTCATTTTTCTTCTTACATTGTTTATTTTGAGAATGAGAATGGAGAAGCTGAGAAGGGGACATTGGTTTTGAGAGAGATGATGGAGTTCAGATTTTGATAGAGTTCATCTTTTTAGTGATGGCCTTAGAGAAAGGGGGGGAAAGATGAGAGGCTTTAGTCCGAATGGTCTTTGAGACCTGGAGGATGAACGCTCTGCTGTTGTGAGTGTGTTGTTTCCTGTTTGCTCCAGGCAGTGAGATTCTGGACCTCTTTAAACCTCTTTGGCTGCTTGCTTTTCTGGTACTTCACGATGGAGATGAAGACTTGATGAATGGCAGCCTGCCGTGTGATAGGTAAGAGGTGGTAGAAGATGTAGGCAGGAAGGAAAGGCCAGTGCAGGCTTTCAGTTCCATCTTGATCACTTCACACTCTCTGGCTTGGCAGTGACTGAAGGGAAGCCACAGCGCATGGACAGAAAACTCTGATTCCTTTTCTGTTTGGCTAAAGTATTTTTATTACTTTCTGTTTGCTGCAAGATGACTATTTTAATTGTTCATGTTTAGCATAGTTGTTGTATAACTGAGTTAAATCACTCTCTTAAGCATGTGCTTTATTCAGTGGTTCTTTTGTCTTTTTCTTTTTTAAGTATTAGAGGCAGGTGTCTCACTATGTTGTCCAGGCTGACCTGGAACTCCTGGTCTCCAGCAGTCATCCTACCTTGCCTCCCAAAGTGCTGGGATTACAGGCAGGAGCCACTACACCTGGCCTAGGCAGTGGTTCTTTTTTTGTTTTTGGAGTCTCACTCTGTTGCCCAGGCTGCAGTGCAGTGGCATGTTTACGGCCACCCCAGCATCGACCTGCTGGGCTCAGGTGATCCTTCTGCCTCAGCGTTCCAAGTAGCCAGAACTATAGGCACATGCTACCATGCCCAGCTAATTTTTGATTTATTGTAGAGACAAGGTCTCACCAAGTTATCTGGGCTGGTCTTGAACCCACGGACTCAGGCAGTCCACTCGCCTGGGCCTCCCAAAGTGCTGGGTTTAGAGGCTGAGCCACCAAGCCCGGCCTCGGCAGTTGTTCTTTAAAGAGGCATTCTAGTCTGGATGCAGTAGTTGACACTTGTAATCCCGGCACTTTGAGAGGCGGAGGAGGGAGGATTGCTTGAACCCAGGAGTTTGAAACCAGCCTAGGCAGCATAGGGAGACTTCATTTTTCCAAAAATTTAGGTGTGGTGGCATGTACCTATAGTCCCAGCTACTCAGGAGGCTGAGACGGAGGATCCCCTGAGCCCAGAAAGTTGAGGCTGTGGTGAGCCATGTTGTGCCTCTGCACTCTAACCTGGGTGACAGAGCCTGATTCAAAAAAGAGAGAAAGAGAGAGACAGAGAAGT